TTTCTTCTTATATTTAACAGGCAGCCTCTCTGGGATTATTGCAGTATCCCATTCTTAATGCTTCCTTGGATGAAAACTGTCAAAATGTCACATATAAGGTTTGTAAATTACTGATAAAATTGTGAGCAGAAAACCTAAAGTAACAGCTAACAAGGGCTTTTCAGAATGTCTGAGTTAATTTTAAAAACCAAAACTGTGGTGTTGTGCTGGAAAATAATTTGTGTGTCCAGATTCTAAGATCTGGATTTGATTTATTATTGAACTTACTTCAGTAGTTTGTTAAACAAGAGTCACTTTGTTATTCAGGCTTGCCTCAAAATTATGTATTAGTATAGTGATTTTCTATTTTTTACCTGAATATGGGCCAAGCATTTAAAATGAAAACACTTAAAAATCTAATACAACAATTTTTTAGTAATGGCACTATTGTTCCAACATTCAACCTTTATGTATTAAGGTTATATTTTAAACTCAGTTTTTATAAAAATGATGTAATTTTCATACCAGCTGCTGGAATGATACTTCTGGGAAGCTAGTGTCTTATTTTCATGATTGATGTGTATGTGCCCCTTGCAGTACAAACTCCTTTTGTGCTGTTTGATCAATATCTCTCAGAATTCTTTTATTCCTTCTAGCAAATAAAAGGCAACTGTGTTTCCTTTTTTTTAATTTTAGTGTTCTCTTTAAAATCTGCTATTTATGTTTTGTTAGACTTGCAATCATCCTGAAGTTCAGTGTTTTCAGTGTGAAATCAATTCCTGGATTTTGTATTCCCCGGGTGTGAAATTGCCAACAGTTCGCAGGTGTGGAAAGCTAATATTTAAAAATTTACATCCTTTTCTCCCCTCAAAGTTGTATAAAGGAGTTGTTTACTGAAGACAGCACTTTATAGGTTAAACAGATAAACGGGGAAGATGTGATTTAAGTGCCTTTTTATGTAAAATACATTTTATGTTGATAGCTTATAATAATGTCCAGTTAATGAAACTTGTTGCAGGCTTCGCACAACATTGGAGTTGCGATGGACACGGAGCAAGGTTTAATTGTCCCAAACGTGAAAAATGTCCAAGTCTGTAGCGTGTTTGACATTGCTTCTGAATTGAATCGCCTACAGTCCTTGGGCTCTGCAGGCCAGCTGGGAACAAGTGACCTCACTGGGGGAACATTCACACTTTCGAATATTGGCACAGTAAGTAAAAGAAAAAAGAGAACTACATCTGAAAACTGCTTCTGAAATGAAAACTTTACTGAAGTTTAATATAAAATGAATAAAACTTGTAGCAATTAATTCAAGAGGCAATCTGCTCTAAAAAGCCCCCCAAACTATTTGGTAAATAATATCCCCAGGTTTTTCTTTTCTAGATTGGTGGCACTTACGCCAAACCAGTGATACTACCTCCTGAAGTAGCTATTGGAGCACTTGGAAAGATACAGGTATAGTAACTTTATCTCAGTAATCTGAGTGTTTAGGTCATCTGTAATTAAAGTGAAACTGGAGTCTCTCTTGTTTTGTTTTCCTTTTATAAACATTTCTTTATATTAGAGAAATTGCATAGCTTGTGATTGCAAAGTTTTGTAGTGGTTTTAGATGACTGTACAGACACTGAATGTTTAACTAGAAGTTAAACACCAAAGGTTCAGATTTGTTTTCTAGAATCCTGTTATATTTCACTCACATCTGTGTGTTTAGCCTTCTGGTGATCAGGAAACAACAGAAATATATTTTTACAAGTTTTGCAACGTGCTGTAACATTGTTGCTATCATCAAGGAGAAAACTTGAGAAGTACTCTGATAATGAAGTATAATTTCATGAGCCAGATAGCTGAATCCATACAGAAATTTGTGTGGTGAAGGCAGTTTTATATTTTCTAAATTTCAGCCCTTAATTCTTTCATGTAGACATTTGAGACCAGTGCTGGAAATGAAATTAGTATTAACTTAAATTACTACTTCTAAGTTCTTCCCATGAGCATTTTGTTCAGGGGATGCTTTAAGGAAACCATCACTTTGAGAACTAACAGTGCAATAAACTATTCAGGAAGAAACTTTTGAGTCAAGAAAGATTTTCAGTACTTCAGTATTTCCATGATGGTGGAAACAGGATATGACTGTTTATTATGTTGGCTTGCAATATATTCTAATCCACAGCACAAACAATAATGGGAAGGTCTTGGTTTTTTGAAGGGTGTTACCGCTGTCTGTCTAATTTAGCAAAATGTTTAAATTTAGTTCAACAAATTAATAACAAAGAAATAGAGATCTGCTAATGAAAGTATTTAGTGTTTCAATTCTTTTCTTTCCTCTGATTTTTAGGTTGTTCCTCGGTTTAATGGGAAAGGTGAAGTATTTAAGGCACAGATAATGAATGTGAGCTGGTCAGCTGATCACCGCATCATTGACGGAGCCACCATGGCCCGCTTTTCTAACCTGTGGAAATCATACGTGGAGAACCCTGCTTCGATGCTGCTGGACCTTAAATAAAGGAAACCATGGCTAGAACATGCCTTTAAACTTTTTGGTTTAGAACTGAATAGTTATGAAAGCTGTCTCCGCTAACATGTGCCCTTGGCTACGTGCATTATATAATAATGTTATGTGGTTAAAAGTTCTCAACAGTTGATATCAGTCTATCAATTAGTTGTTACTTCTTTTAATTAGTAGTGCTGTAATTTTTTCTACAGCAGACTGTCAAACTGAATAGGTCAAGGTTTCTGAATATGGTGGTGGAATGTCTTTATTGTGCCTTTTATAATAATTGTCAGGCTGGTGGGACTGAGTGACACTGCTCTACACCTGCAGTATTTATAATCTGATTAACCTGTCTTAAAGGGGAATACTCCTAGTTCTTCCATGTTGGACACGTAAATTTATTTTAATGAATAATATCCAGATTCCCAAAACGAGTTATGCAAAATCATATACAAATAAAAATGCCTTTAATATTTCTGCCGTAAGAGGGCTTTTTGTTGTTTACCTTAGTAAACCTCTTAAATCTTTTGCTAGTTCACATTTTCCTGGCAATTATGTGCACAGGTACTCTTTATCAAACTACAAATGAAGAGGCCATATTTATTCAAATGCTTACTGATAACACTTATTCATAACTATCAGGACCTTAATACTCTCTAGAATATCCTGTATTTTTATAAGCTGGAAGTAGTCTCAGTCCTTAATGCTTTCCAGTTATTTTTGTTTCTTATAGAAAGCATCTGTCCGTTAAAACCAAGCGAGAAAGAAAGAAAGAGAAAACAAAGAAAAAAAGAAGGATCTTGTTTTGTTATTCTTACATTAGGTAAGACTGACAGTAAGCTGAACGTGTTCCAAAAGCTTGCACTGTGTTATTGACCTTCAAATACCAGATTAATCAGATTCAACAAAGAGTGGACATTAAAAAATGCTATGTAAGATAAGGCTTTCCTAAACTCAGATACGAGACACATAATGAATAGGTTCAAGTTAACGGCTTCAGAACAGAAAACAGTTACATGGCTTTAAGGTGAACTAAACAGATGAGGATTGTGCTGGTGATTTAATGGGAGATAGGAAGAAAACCATTGATTATAAATACCTTCTAGAAACCTAAGTTGCAAATAGACACAAGAAAAGAGAGTTATATGGCCTTAAAAATGAATCTGTGATGCACAAAATGGACATTTTCTCCTTTCCTTAGATATATCAAACCCAGGAACATTCTCCAGAAGTGTAGACCAAAGTTGTCTATTGCATTTAGCTGTGAAAATGTGAGACAGGCTGTCAGAGGTAGAATCCCTGCTATCCTTGATGCTGGGAATGAGCAAGAGGAAAGATGGTAATGTAGAAGGGGGAGCATGGAGCATCCATGTAAGGTGCTATTTATATTTCTATTGTGGTATAAGGGTCTTTTATATAAAGGTCATTTCTTGCAAAGTTTGACTAATATATCATGCTTATCACCTAATTCATTTTTATCAGATTTATTTATTCCTAATAAAAAAATAAAGCCACAAAGAATTGTAATATTGTTTTTATTTGTGAATTCTATGCAGGCAGTGCTGTACAGGTGATTCAAACTATTTCTTCTGATCTTGAACATACAGTACCAAGGCTACCAAAAGAGCACAGCCTAATGGCTGCTTTCCTGCAAGCATATTGTTGTGGTAAGGGGCTCAGTCTGAATAGTATATTTTTTAATCTGATGACCACTGAGAAAATAAACAGAGGAAACATAAGTAGATGAAAGAAAGCAATAAAGTGATTTTGAAATATTTAAGATAGAATCATTTTACTTGCACAAGGAGCCTGAAATTTGTCTCTCAAGACTCCAATAAATGGGAGGGCTGTTGAGTTTTTTTACCCTAATTTTCTGTCTTTAAGGAGGAGCAAATGAGGTTTTCAGTTATGATTGGCTTAGATCAAGAGATTGAACCTATACCAAAACTGAAAGAAGAAATACCTATAACAAAGAAACTTTTGGACCATTTTTGCTTTTGCATAATGTGTTTTTTTTAAAAAAAGTATAGAAGGTTGAAAGGCTTGAAAGCTAAAGTACTTAGTGTCTTTTAAATAGGTATTGGTGTTCCAGTATTTAGTTGGTTGTAGACTGAAGAGAGTGGTTTTGGTTTTTTTTAGTGTAAAGTTCTGTATGGTAGGTTTATAACCAAACTCACAATATTTTAAAATTTTATCTTCACATTTTATAGTCCAGTGCACTTGGTTAGAATTATCCAGTTTTATGGTTTCTGCCTCAAATAGTGACCTGTGATTATTGTTGTGTCTTTCTTTCCATTTGAATGAAGAAAAAGATTCTGACAGATTTTATCTTCTCTACGGACTATTTGAAGAAATAGAATGTTAAAAATGTTTCATGGTTGGAAGCATGAAAAGGGGTGAGTAACACCTCTGTACATCTTGATAAAGATTACTTTTCTGTCTAGACTTTGCTAATTGGCACTAAAATTCTTCAACAAGAGAATTTTTCAGCATGGGCAGAAGTAATGAGTAAAATACTTTGTGAGGTAATAGTCTAGTCTATTCAGTCTGTGTTGCTGCTTATTAGCACTTTGAAGCTCAGTTATATTACAGAGAAACATTACTAGAGTAAGAAAGTAGTTGTCATTTTCAATTCAAAACTGGCCTTTTTTTATCTTTGTAATTTTTAATTCAATATGAGCTGATTGTAGAGAATAACAATTACTCCTTTGTTCTTCTTTTTCACAATTTGTAACTTTTTTAAGCGGGCGTCCAGGAGTTCAGGGGAGCCCCGTCATGCTCAACACACTGAGAAGACTTTACAGTGGTAAATGCTTGGGGGAGGTTGCAGAAGTGCCTCATGTGATGCCTTCTATTCTCAGCATAGGTTAAAATTAGAACTAGACTGACATTGCATTGGAGTCTGAGAGTTCTAAATGGTTTTGGTAATACAGACAAGATTTGTAATTTGTCTCTGCTCTTGTCCAGAAAGCAATGAGTCACAGAAAATCCTTGAAAACACCAAATAATTGAGGTAAGTTGTTGTTAAATTCTTTCTGATGCCTGGAGATAAAGTTGTAGGGAGATCTGGTTACTTGGGAGTAAATTTGCAGTTGTTTTAGAGCTGTGGTTGGGAATTCACTCCTGAATTGTTGGCTGTGATGGCATGATTATTATGGGGTTTATTTTCTTGACAAATAATAAGATCTAAGAACATGAAGCTTTTGATGGTAGTCCTGTTATATAATAAAATCATCCTGAAAATAAAGTTGTATATTTAGTCCCTTTCATATTTCATGGTTCTGAAGCAGTACTTATTGAATAATATGCTTTCCACAGCAAAAGGGAGTTGCCCAGAATAAGATTTACTAAAAACAAGTATTGTTTTGACTGTAAAGTATGATACTGGGTTAGTAGTACAATTATTAACAAATATCCCTTTTCTGCACAGTTTATATAAAAGGACTTCTAATTTTCCAAAAAGGCTTGTAGTTCAAAAAAAAATCTCCAAACAAGAAATTATAAATTAGTTCAATCACTTGATCTCAGTAGAAATTTAATCCTGAAAAAATCAGGCAATTTAAATTGTAACCATTAACTGGAGCAAAAGACCTCATGCATATATAGCATTCCTGTTGCACATTGGGATGAGGACTGAGAAGGGTAGTTACTCTGAGGACCACTGAAAGAGAGTTAGTCCTTCAAAGTAGCAAATGTGCTCACAGTTATGTGGGGGAGGGAAAGAGAATACAGTCCTCTCTTTACAGGAAAAAATTCCATCCTTTTGGAACCCAAATGCCAGACTGCACTGTGCCACACTGGTTACCATTTGTGTCACTTGTCAAATCCTGACATTTTTCCTTAACAAACAGAGAACAGTTAAGAATCCTAAATATTAGTGTATCAGACCAGCTTCTTATTTATTCAGGCATTATAATTTGATTTTTATGTTGTCTTTACAACAGGAAGCAATCCTGATATTTTACGTTTTATTTGTCTACACATTTTTAATTAAATTATTTCAGTATAATCATGCTTTACAAGTAAGTATGTTAACAAAAGACATAGTAAGCAAATAGAATGATTGACAGTTTGAACACAAAAATGTTCACTAAGCAATTCTAGCTTGTCCAGACCACACAAAATTATAATGGAATAAATATAATAGAAAATATTTGTTTTAAAAGACAAACCCTTTCCCCAAATGACTGCAGTAACGGCAATACGAATGATTTTTAGAGAGATGCACTGATTAGGATGACTGAGTATCCTACTTCGCTGCTTTTCAGGAAAATATATCTTAATTATCTCACTAAGGGATAGATGACTTCAAAACTTTAGACTGAATTTAATTTTAAATGTGGATCCTGACACTCAGCAGGGCTACAAGAAGATTCAAACACAAATCAGAAAAATTTAAAAGCCTTTTCTTAAAGGTAATGCATTACTAACTATAAAATGCATTATAATGAGTTAAACCATGAAGAAAATGAATGCAAATAAAGTTTACTAATTTATTTCCAGGAACAGTTCAGTTTTTGTAAAGTGCAAAACTCCTTAAGTCACAAGTACTTATATCAGGTGACTGCCAGGATGCAGGTATCAGAATTTAACTGCCTTACATTGCAGGTAACAGCTGAATTTCTTCCTGGGATGGGAATAAATGCTCAAATCTGCATTTAGTAATTATGGTGAGTACTCAGCCTACCATTGGAAGGAACTGAGAGAAGCTAAATAAGAAAACAGAGACTTCAAGAATACCATTTCTTAATACAAGACAGTTTCACTAGGTGCTATTATCTATTTTTAAAAGAGAAAGCAGATGGTAAAATCCTGTTTGTTCTATACATTAACTGCATGTAATAATACATTGAAGTGGGTATTGCAGGGTTTTAGCTCTCATGTCACTGTCCCCAGCTGGTAACTGATACATGGGCTGATGCGTTCCATCAGATTCCTGGGACTGCATCTGAACATGTAAAGGATCATGGCTGAAACTGCAGTTTGCCTTGGCACATTCACTGCTGTGAAGACACTTTGGGAAGTGAGAATACACAAGATAAATGAAGAATTACAGAAAGAAAAGGAATTCAGGCAGAGGTCTGCAGGAAGGTAAATTGTAGATCTTTAATTATGTGAAAAGCTAGACCATATATTGCATTTCAGAAGACTGTAATTAATCTTTTCAAACTCATCCAGACTCTAATTCTTTAGTTGTTACTCCAGTGGAATTCCCAGTGGTTAGAATCTAGCAATATGGTCAGGTCAAACCAAGAATTGTGTCTGTGATAAAAATATTAGTATATAGACTAAATCCCCTAAATTCAGATACTAAAACAACTGTGTGGATACTCTAACCTATGGAAATTTGTTACGTTTTTTTCTCCATAGAGGCATTAATAGGGTCACTTAGTTTTCTGTCTGGACAGCAATTTAAATTTGAAGAAATTTAGCATTCTATTTTTAGACCTCTTGATTTATCAGATATGTCTGAAATGGAATAAGAAATTCAAAAGGTGCTAATGGAAAATACAAGCAGAAAGAAAGAGAATTAGCCCAATTGTCATAGTTCTTGTTGAAGTCCTCTTTGGAAATCAAGCTAAAAGAATCTCTTGCTGATTGACCTTGTTTTGTTGAACTTACATTTGGTGTGATGGAAGGCTTTCTTTTTAGGAGACTGCCTCAAAATTAAGGCTTTGGAACTTAGTTCCACATGACTTTATATTCTGTTGCCCTGCTGCAACGTGTTGAAAGTGAATTAAGTTATGTCCTCCTTCTGAATGTAAATTTGAAGAACTATAAAATAGAATTCCTATATATAGAATTACCTCATTAATTACCACATTAATTGCTTGTCTGCCCTCAATTTGATAGTATATTTAGTATCCAGATATAATCAACATTGTTTGACATCCAAAAAGGCTACTGTGTCTTTTTTTCCAGAAAATAGATAGGATAGTAATTATTGTCTGTACTCGCTGTTGCCCCACTGACAGATCTTTCGTTGTAGGCTATTGCTTGTCTGGGAGGAAAGAGCAGCTTTGGCAAAGCTCAAAGAAAGAGTTATTAATGAAGGTGGAAGAGCAATTTTAAGGATAGAGGAAGAAGAATGGAAGGTAGTGTTGATAGGAATGCATGTTGAATGACTGATGCATTAGAAAACTACTATTTACAACTTTACACTTATATAGTTGTACTATTTTTGTTAAGTCCTCACTGTGTGCTTTGCTAACAGTGAGTTGGGACACATTGTTGTGAGTGTAAAAGCAAGCTGGGTGTTTTTTAGTCATGAATATTAAGCATTACTCTTAGGCAAAAATATAGCCTAAAAGACTTTTCTGCATCAGAAATTATTTACATTCCAAATTACGAGTTTCATTACATAAATCCTCATTTAACATTAACACACCAAAACTACTGAAATGTATCAAGGTGAAAACTCTGTTGTTTAGGTGCATGACAATATTTCTTACTGTTGTTTACTTTCTAAGAGTGGAAATAAGGCAGTAGATTCCCAGAACACAGTATAGCTTAAGAAGAATGAAAAACTGTTAGTGTTCAAATAAAATTTCTTGTCAGCCGGTATTCTTGTATACTAAGCTGAATTTCTTCTGGTTCATATTTCTTGTCTTAGACACTACCTTCGTGCTTATTGAAACTAGTCCATCTCCAGGAATGGCAGCTTCATAGAACTAGTCTGCAGAAAATTCCTCAATTTATTGGAAGATTTCAGAGTCTTGTTGTTCTGGATCTATCCCGAAACTCAATTGAAAGTGTACCTAAAGAAATTGGTGAGCTGTGCTTTCTTTTAAGCTGCTTTTCTAAGAAAATTGCACAAATGTGCCATTTTTGTGCCCTTTCCCGGTCTAAAAATCCTATTGGGTAGTTAGAAAACAGATGATTTAAATCTAACAGTGAGACAGAGATCTCCAAACCACAGATTGCCTACAAATTAAAAAATGACTGGATGGAAGACACATATCTTTATGAAAGCTCCCCATGGAAAAAAAAAAGCCTGCAAGCACAGCAGGGACTAGACATCAGAATGCAGCTAGAAAAGTGATACTGAAAAACAGGCTTCATGTTCTGAGTCCACAGCATGAGTAGTCTATTCTTATTTTTTTAGTTTTGGGGTTTTAGAATGCAGCTCTGTACTAAAGAGTCCTGAAATCCTACTATTTGCATTTCAGTGATTTTTTAAAAAATTTTTTATTTTAAATTTGTGAAAACAGAGCATTTCTATAACAGTTAAAGGATAAGACAAAACAAGTAGTATTGTATTTCAAATAGAATGAACATGAGCATTTCTCATGTCTCATTTGTGCTCTCTGCAGGCCAGCTGACCAGCCTCCAAGAGCTGCTTCTCAGTTACAATAGAATAAAGTCTGTTCCAAAGGAAATAAGTAACTGCATCAGTCTGGAAAGACTGGAACTGGCTGTCAACAGGAATATCTGTGATCTTCCTCCTCAGGTTTTGACACTGTTTTGTTTTGTTTAATGCATATTTTTTTAATTTATCCAAACCCAATTATCATTAAAGGATGCACTCATTGTTTTCAGATTTGCTGTGATACTCTGATTTCACAACTAATCCACAGAAATGCTGATGTGAACTGCCTTTCTGTGACTAGTCAAACTGAAGCCATGTGAGAAAAACATACTTATACCTGAGTAGCTGAAGGAGCCAATCTTTATTTTGTCCAGATAAATGGCTTGGCAGTGCATACAGGGCAGTGATACACTTCATGTCAATTTGTCTAGGCTGAATGTCTTCACTGGTTTACCCCACTGAGAATCTGATGCCTTAGCACAGAGAAGTTCTCTTTTATGGCTGAGAGTAGAAATTCATACCACATGCCAGGACAGAACTGTAAGCATCTTGACCAGAACAACCAGCTCTCAAAAGGGTTTGTGTGATTTATACAACTGCCTATGCATGCAGTTGAACAATTGTTGTTCTCAAATATTGAAAACAATTATGAGGGAATAAAAACAAGTGCTCACCTACTACTGAGCTTTAATTTGAGCTGACCTACATGTGAGAGAGACCTGCATCTCTAACTATTAGTCTCTTAGACAGAGATGACAAGTATGCAACCATATATACTTTTAAAAATTTATTTAAAAACATAGTAGTGGCAATAGTCAGCAATCAGTGCCTTGCAAAATTGAGTGAATCCAGACAGTGATACCCAACATCAAATCTTCAAATGGAAATATATACTATTAACCAAAATCCAGGACTTACAAAATCTACATGGATAGAGGTTACATGGTGTAATGTAGAGTGATGGCTTTTAGATTGACAGCTCACAGCAAACGCATAGTTCTGTCGAGACTACAGTGATGTGAACGCTGTGAAGCTTTGGTTATGTACTTGAGTGGCATTCAGTGTTTAGACAGTTGGATCAGATCTGCCATAAATTATCTTTGTATCACTTGAACATTGTAAAAGCACCTGAAGGCATGATTCCCCAAAGGAGTTAGGTGCTGCAATACTGAATGATGCTATGTTGCATTTTTAGAATGTTAGTAGACTTCACAGCATGGAAGGTGTCAAAATCCACTCTAAAATACAGTACATGCAATTTGATGCATAAAAATCTAAATATATGACTAATGAAAAATGTCATTTCATGGAGTATGACATACTAAGGACAGTGCTGTCTTTAGAATTCTCTTTCTCCGTGAGGCTTAGTGCATATATGCATTGTAGGCATGGCTTTCAGCCTCTCAGCACTTAGAGCACTTGCTACCGGGTGAGGTAAAATTCTTCTGCCTGACCAGTTTGAAACCTACCTACCTTCCAGGTGAGAACTGTAACTGTTAGATAATACCAGCTAATGTAACTCAGAAACCATTCCGTGTTAACTAGCTCCAAAATACGTTGTAATGTTTGTTAACATTTTTAGAGCACTGCTGTAATGCTGCAACAGCTACACAAACTTGCATTAAATCTCCACTTCTTTTCAGCTCAGTGATTTAAAGAAGCTTTCACACATAGATTTGTGCATGAATCAGTTTACTACCATCCCTTCAGCTCTCCTCAACATGCCACATCTAGAATGGTTAGATATGGGGGGAAATAAACTCCAGGAGCTTCCTGATGCAATTGACAGGTAAATAAAACTCAAAGCTCATCTTAGTCTCAATTCCATTGCACTGAAATTCTAATTATTAAATGCTACTTCAAAAGATAATTTTTTGTTAACTTCACTGCAAACTTAAGATTTTGTCAGCCCTAAAGTGATGTTTTGGGTGAGCTGGAATAATCCATTTAATTAACAACATAAGGTTAAATATTTATTGCCAATGACATTTTCAAACAGAGATTAGGTGATTATCTTGGACAGGGGGTTTCCTTAGAGACTTGTTGCATTATGAGAGTCCTTTATGTGGCTGAAAAATTATTTATTTTATAGTAATGATTTAAAAGATTAATTTTCTAAATCTTGATTGAGTGCACAAATACCTGTTTTTCAGAATGGAAAATCTCCACACTTTATGGCTCCAAAGGAATGATATAAACTCTTTGCCAGAAACCATTTGTAATATGAAAAATCTTAGTACTCTTGTTCTTAGCAACAACAAGCTTAAGGATATTCCAGCTTGTATGAAAGACATGACAAATCTGAGGTAAGAAAAAGTAATAGAAATAGAAATACTAGAAGATAAGTTTTAAAGCCTTCTTTGAGTTGCATATTATAGAATGATACTAAGGAAGAGAAGAAGGCACGATCACAGTTGTACAGATGGACACAGTACCATATAAATCAGCATAGTTGCACAGATTCACAATTGTGCAATCCACAACTCACAGATTGAGGATCTGTTCAAGCAACCTTTGTGAAGTGAAACTCATTTAAAGAAGTGAACGATGATAGTTACAGTCCCAAATGAAAAAGCAGGCTATAATACATTTTCTCATTTCCAAACTGTCCTCATGCCCCCCCTATAATTGGCCTTTTATATCACTCTCTAAAGCCAAAAGCTTGCAGAAAAATATGTGACAGGCATAAAAATGGCAAAAAATAGAACTTTGCCACTGAGAAATCAAACATTCAGAATTAAACAAAAATGATTAGGTATAAGGACATGGAAGAAAGGATATGAAAACTAAAAAAATAATGGAAATTCCTAATTGAATATGAAATACTACTTTTTATACCATGACATAAACTTTCCTGTTGTTTGCATTTTCATTTGGATTCCTGGATGCTGGCCATTTTAGAGAAAGAATGCTAGTCCACAAAAATCATGTCTAACCCAGTAAGACAATTACTGTTTCCAGCTGTTTTGGAAGCACCTCTTAAACCAAATATATGCAAGCATAGGTCCAGGGATGGACCCAGGACAAAGAGAGACAGGACTGGTTTCTGCCTTGCAAAGCTGGGGGGAGGCATTTGCACTGTTGTTCTCATCACTCCTGTTTGTGGAAGCTCAATACTCCTGACCATGGGGTGAAAACCTGAACACAAAGTGACAAGGACTGCAATGTTTTTTCCCACCACAATCAGCTAGTGTTATTATAAAGAGTCTTCTTAGTTTACTTAATACTATTGATAGAGGGGTGAGTTTAGTATAATAAAAGCCTTATTTAATTTTGCTCAAAACAGTGATTGACAAATCTTAATTTGCTTTCAAAAGAATTGTTTTCTCTGGATAAAACTTATTGCAAGAGTAACTTTTTTGGTGAATTATCAGATTTGTCAACTTCAGAGACAACCCACTGGAGCTAGAGGTAACACTCCCTCCGTGTGAGGATACAGAAGAGGAGGAGCAGCAGGAAATGTTCGGCATTGACTTCATGCACATGTATATCCAGGAGTCCCTCAAGAAAACAGGTATGACTTTTTATTAATTCTGATCTCTCTGGAATACAGTGAGAAAGGGAAGGACAAACTGGATAAATAAAATCTAGGATACATATACAAATGAAACATGAATAGTCTTCTTCATAAATGAATAACATTTTCCAAAAAATCTGTAAAATGATTTTTACTGAGGGCGGGGGGTGCTTTTATCAGGAGTTGGCACAGCAGGTCTTCACACAAACAGCATATATTCTGGTAGGAACAGACAGGAACCGTGGAACGTTGGAATAAAAGTGCCTGAGTTACCTAGAGCCGGGATAAGTAGAAGCTGTCTTTTGTATTTGTAATTTAATCAGTTTACATAGTGTGGGTCTTACAGCACCATTTATCTCATGAAGCTCAACTTTTCCTATTTCTGGATGTTGTCCAGCTGGTACTACCAAAGAAGGAATAAGGGAGAGATGCTTATGTTCCCAACATACATCTTCTAGCAGTGAAGTATCAACACCTGATAAACAGATGTTTCTCACAATTTGCTTTCCCTGACACGAAGTCAGTCACCTAAACAAAACAGCCCCACAGTTTATTCCCATTTCTAAAACGCTATGACAAAAATTTGCTGTTCATAGCCTCAAAGGTAACAGTTTAAATGTTGCAGTAAGAAGCCAAAATAAACACTTCTGAACAGCTGTGCAGGTGGCAGCTGTTTCTTGCAGAGAGCACTTCATTGCAGATATAAAATGTTCTCTCTGATCTTCATTCTGTGTTTTGTGAAGACTTAAAAAATGAATGAAATGCTCTTGATTTAGAACACTAGGCCAGCTTTTTTCTTATCAATATTTAATGAATGATCAAATTAGCAAAAATACATCAAGAAGACAGTTTACAAGTTAGTTTTCTTCCTTGATGGATTCCCCTAGCAGCATAGGCTGATGAAAGAACCTTGGCCTACTTAAATAATTTAAGAGGAAATACAAAGCTATCCTGAACTTCAAAGTGAAAATAAAGTATGTTATTTCCTCTCTTATTTTCACTTGTTGTCTTTCAGGAAATCTGGAAAGTGGTACTTCTGATCCTCCTCCGATCATAAATGCTAATGATAAAGAACGTAACTGAGAATGGAAGACAATACCAAATATACTTCTTCCCAGAAAAGAGGCCTTTGACACAACAGGTGTCAAATATGCTTAGGGATTTTATTTTTCCACTGATGAGAACTGGTTTGCATATGTGTAATTCCCAGTGACACTGGGAAATATAAGACCTTTTCCTGGGTACAGGAAAGACTAAAACATTTTTTTTGTAAACACTGAATTAGCTTTTTAAAAAAATCCAGATAAGTTTTTTAGGTTTTTTTTCCCCTAACAATTCCAAATCTATCTCCTGTCATGTAGTTGGCTCTGTTATCAAAGATGGACTTGGGACAGCTGTCAACAGGACATTCTCCAAGGATACAGCAGACTCTGTGTAATACTGTAGTGCAGCCTTGTATCCTTGTTGTTGTAAATATTCAATCCGTCCATGATCAATCAGCCGTTTACAGAGGCAACCTATCTCCTTTCGTTCTTCAACAGTAAGTATCCTAGTGTCAGAAAAGGGAGGAAAAGAATGAACAACATCTGTCAGAGGAATAGTTTGGTTAGTTAACATTAGTAGTTAAGCTTAGAGAAACTACTGAAATCACTGTAAGTTCATTTCAGTCAGGCAACTGTGACTGTTGATTTATTTTGAAATGTACATCCATAAAACCTGTATTTTTAAAGTAAAGTATTTCTGTAAGTTCAGTATTAACTTTATTTCTGCAAAATGAGTCCTTTTGAGGACCCAAAACAATTTAATGTGCCACTATACATAATTTTGCTTTTCTGCTGGAGTCCATTTGCTAGGAAAAAAAATTACATACCCTTGCCATGTATCAGAACCACTCTCTGCCGTGCTGAATGTTTGCTCATGTTCTTCTGTCTCATTAGTTTGGTCTTCACTTTCTTCACTTGTAGAGGCTTTGCTTGTGGTTTCTCGCATGCCACAAGTGGCCCAACTACTCATTCTCTGGAAATAATGGAATTCTACTGCTCCCAGTCCAACCGATTTAAAGAACTCTCTGCCTACATAATGTGTCCAGTCACACTTGTGGTGGCAACACAGAGCAATGACAATTCCAGCTACAGGCTTATGGTCTTCTGTGTTGCTGTCATTACCAGCAGCAGTGTCAGGAGCCACCTCTGTCATAGCAGTCCTACAGCGTTTTGCTGCAGGCTCTTCATTCTCTTCACCACAGTAAGTTGAGTAACTTTCAACCAAGCATCTCAGAGCCAGATCTGAGAATGAACACATACACCACCAAAAAAAAATCCATAAACACCATACCATTATTTATACAGGCTCTATCATGATTTGGAATGTACTTCCCATGAAGAAAAATAAAATCATACATCACAAACTAAGCCAAAATGCAATTTTAATGATAAAAAAAATACAAGCATGCTTTGAAAACATGAAAACTGTAAACGCTAAATTAATATTATGAGACCTCCAGAGCTCTTCAGGGCTTATCCTCTGGAATATCTGTTCTACGGAAGTGAATTTTAAATACTTGGGTAATAAATCGGCATATTGTAGGAGAACCTCCTCCCTGTAAAACATGCAACTATTTGCTCCAGAAATTTGATATCTAGGACACAATCTACTTAATATGCACATGTACTTCTTAAATGCTTAACTGTGTCATCTTTGTCACAATGCCTAGAAAGGTGTCATATTTGAGATACCTTTATGTAGTAAGCATATGATGTTAGAAAAATATTAGTTTATAATTATCGGGACAGAAACACATTCTTATTTGTTTGCTTGGGATACATATTCAAACAGCCAACACAAATTTAAAAGAAAAATATTTCAAAGAGGCAACTGTGCTAAAAAAAGTACTTTCACCAGATTACAAATGACCCATGCCACCACACACTATTCTTTGTTCTAATCTATAGAGCCCAAGAAAGGCTTTACTTCTGCCTAAACTATCCTTGCACCTATTATCCTTTTACTACTCCACTGGAGTCAATAGGTAATTAGAATATAACTGCTATATTCACCAACAAAGGGTTAGAGGGCAAGAAGAGCTTAAAAGGATAGTTTGGAAGATCAGTTCATTCAGGGTGTAAGATGTAGTATCATAACTTTCTGCAGTTCACACATCTGTAATTCATACCTGTTGCAGCACCACACAAATGCTTCCCAATTCCTACCACTGGTAGTTTTTTCATCTCCAAAATAGGTACCTTACCTGGAGAGGGAAAAAAGTAAACAACCAACAAACCCCTCATGCAATCCACAATAACCCTAGCACCTATATATTATTATAGTTGGGGCAACATTTTTTCTGAATAAAATAATTTCTGCACACTTAGAAATAAATGTTTACCACTACAGTGGTTTGGTCAAAGGAAAGTTTCTTTTACTAAAACAATTTAAAAGAATAGGATGCTGTAGCTGGGAAGCACATTTAACCATTTCAGCCTTTCTATACTGCCTATGAAAGGTAAATATGACATTAATGCATCTCCTGATGAGAGGTGTTCCCACAAATGCTATAGCATTGATGGTGCATACTTGTACCTATACCAAACAATGCAAAGATGTTTAATCCTGCAAGTTCTAAAAAAACCTTCAAAATGCACTTGTTTTGGTATTTCTCACCTGTAATGATGTCCTGCAAGTGTATAGAGTAGAAAACTTTAAATCTCCATTTAAAATGTGTGTATATATACACATGCCTGTATGTGTATACACATAGCATTAACATATCCAAGCAACCACTGAGAATAATCTTCAAAACCAAGACCATTTAAGCATTCTACATACAAACTGACTTGAACCCCAGTATTCGAAATTTAAGAATAAGCCTCTATTTCAGACTGACACAAACCAAGAAGGAACTTACTTAAACATAAGTGCTGAATATCAACTTGAAGCCTCTCAAATATAGAATCTCTTCTCTTATGTTTTCCATCCACCTGTTTAAACAGAACAAGATTATTAAGTAGGGCTGGCCACTAATAATTATAATATTGCTCTGGGTATTAATGCCAGACCTTTGTCCTGTCAAGTCAACATCTGTGAATTTCCAACATTAAACACCAGGATTTTTTTTCTAATAAATTTGCTATTGGCGAAGTATGGAATGTAGAACTTTTGAAATTTAAATTTATTGAAGTTAAAAATCTAATACTAACAGCTTCAATGGCAAGAGTTTAAAAATTGCACTCTGCTAATGTGACAATCCTCTTACCTTGAATCTTGTGGTTGCTCTTTCCACAAGCAAAAACTGCACATTTTCAACATTTTGTAAGGCAACATCAACCCAATGAGACAGCTTTCCTCGCCCAGCTCCAAACTCAACAAAACATCTTCCTGGACCAAGTAAATGCAATCTTTCCATGTTACCTAAAATAGAAGCCTACAAACATCAAAAGATTATTTGTGAACCAAACAAATATATACACAATGTATTGTGATGCCTTAGAGAAAAATGATTATGTCACCAAACTGCAGAAGACTTTTTCAAGCCTCCCCTTCAGTGAGGAATTAAGGAAAAGATGTTGTTTGTACAGAGGGATTATACATTCTGACTAGTCAGCAGTACCCTGCCCTTCTTCTCCTGCTCACAGAACTCCACTCAGAACTCTGTGGAATGGATACTGGGGTTCAGGTACACATTATAATATTCTTCTCGCTGATCTTCAAAGTAGCCATCCAAAATATGGGTACTGTAGTGCATTTTCTGTAAAGGATCAGTGCCGCTGATGCTCTCTCGCTCTCTCCTGCAGTTATGTGTTTTGTAATACACAGGAAAGGAAAGCAGAGCAGAGGAAACACACATTTCTCACTGTTAAATTTTTCTTCCCAAACCTTTCTATTTTACTATACTATACAATCCCTTAAAATTTCTGCTGTTTAATACACATTAAAAAGGCAGAAGGTAAATTCAGGCTCTCCAATTCTTTTTGTGCATCTCTTACACAACCAGGAGACCTAGGACCGGCTCTTACAGCAAAAGATTCCTTTTAGCAAATATTTTGCTTTTTGTAGCTCAGTTTTATTATGAGTTAATAAAAAATATGAACATATAAGTAATAATTCAGAACACCACACAATTTAAAGTTTATTTCAATAAATAAGCTTCTGTTATTCACACTTAAGAAAGCAGCCATTCCCAGGCTGTATATATGCTATTATTTGAAGAGCACAAAGTTGTAAAGCATATCAGATTTCCTCTATAGGAAGCTACTAGCATTATACACACAGAGTGGCTCAAATTTACAGCAGCACAATTTCACTCCAAACCCATCAGTGACCACACCTGTTGTTTCAAGTGTTTGAAAGCAGATTCCCCATTCTTTGGGTCATTTAAGGCTTCTTGTAAAGCCTGGTGGGACAGTATTTCTTCCTTAAGATGAAGTTCCAGGCCTGCATGGAAATGCAAAACTTTTAGGTATCGCTTTCCAGTTTCCAAGAGTTCCAGCTTCCAAGAGTTCCTGGTTTGTAACACACGTTACAATAGTGACATGAGCTCAATCTGTAGCACTAGCAAACAGTCTGTTAGGAACATAAATCTCTCATCATATGCTTATAATAGAGCTGTATTGTTATCTGTAGTAATATTTGAGTGGGAAACAAAAACCGAAGGGAACAAAGGATCGGTGTTTTATCATTCTCTCAATCTAGTTTATTTTTCATAGTAACATTTAGCTATTGGAGTCTGCCTGATAATTACTTTATATGTGTTTAATACCACGTCTCATATTTTTACAGATATCTAACAATGGAAATAACAATGAAATACGTAATCAATTCAATTTAAAACATATTATATTTAGTATTAAGTAAGCTCACCATTACTTGCTTTTTTTAACTTCACAATTAAGTTCTGCAGCTCTTCACTGGATAGAGAAGATAAAGTGACCTTTTTAAGGAAAAAAAAAGCCACCTATAAATACAAGACCTTTTAAGTTTTCTAGTGCTTTATAGTCATGATAAATTGCAACATGTTATGTAAGGACTGAACTTAAAAACAAATAATTGTACTCACTTGCTTTTCTGGTATTTCTGCCGCATCTTTTAAA